TATCCAGACAATGGAATACTATTCAGCGCTAAAAAGAAATGAGCTATCAAGCCATGAAAAGACATGGAGGAACCTTAAATGCATATTGGTAAGTGAAAGAATCCAATCTGAAAAGGCTATACACTGTATGATTCCAAATATATGATACTTTAGAGAAGGCAGAACTACAGAAACACTAAAAAGATCAGTGGTTGCCAGGATTTGGGGAGGAGGGACTGCACATGACTCATGGACCAAAGCCAGGTGGGAACCCTGGCTCTTCCTCAAGCTTAGCCAGAGAGATTCAGACCAGAGGGTTGCTTTCCAGAAGTCTGGGAAGACAGACCCACTAGTATCCATGAGAGGTGAAACCAGAGAATGGGCCAGGGAAAGCTTTCTCCCAAGGAAGGAAGGAGGAGGGGAGCCTAAGCAGCCAGAGCTGGCCACCTCCCGTTGCTACCCTTAGCATCATACCCTGGTTCACAGGCCCCAGATGAGCACACCTGTGCAAGAGATAAGGGGCATATGCATATACCTATGCATGTGGACACATCTGCAAACAGAGGCAGGCATATTGTGACACCTGGTCTTCTTGAGACCGAAATCTTCATCTGGCCTTGCATGTCAGCTCTGCTTCCGTGGCCTCTCCCTCTCCCCTGGAATGCTTTATCTGTCTTTGGTGCTCCCAAGACATCTAGGCACCTTCTACACACAGTGTGAGGGGACTGTATTTGATCCCTATAGGTGTCTCCCTACTAGATGGAGTGACCTGAAGTCAGGAACAACATCTTGGTCACCCTATATCCTCCTCGGTGCCTGCACATGGTCAGGAGCTCATGAATGTGTGAGTAAGTGAGTGTGTGGAAGAAGAAAAGGGCTCAGGCAAAGGCCTGTGGGGACCTTAGAGCAGGAATCATAAGGCACGTAAGTCATGGGAAGACCACCGGCTAGTCGTCAGCCTCCATCAAGTCTGGGGCCATGGTCTATAGCAGCTTTCACATGACTATGAAGAGTCATGACTGTCCTGAGGTCTGTCTTCCTGATGAGACTATGAGCCCCACAAGGGCAGCCCTGGTCTTGCTCCATCCGTCCTGCTGTCCCCCAGCACTCCTCTAACACCATGCCTGGCACCGAGCTGGTAACTTGCAAATATTTTTGGAAGGAAGGAGAATAGAGCTTAAGTGATGTGTAACGGTATGTAAGGGTAACAGTGCTCCTCTGGGCCACTGGGAAACAATGAGGTATCAAGGCACAGACGCTG